TGATATTTAGGCTAAATTTCATTCAAACAAACTTGAAGCACCATCATGTTGGGTCAACAGAATAACCTTTATGTAAAAAATGAAGACATATAATAAATTGGTATAAACCCATTTACATTTGATTTAGGGTATATGAGCAATTCAACTAACAAACTCATTACAAGAACACACACACCCACACCCACACAGAGAAACAGAGACAGAGAGACAGAGAGAGAGACAGAGAGAGACAGAGAGAGGGAGACAGAGACAGAGACAGAGACAGAGAGAGACACAGAGAGAAAGAGACTCTTCCAGGCTTAATCTACCTTCACATGTTCAATTCAATTACAAAGTCAGTTTGAAGTGAGTGTAGTGTCAGTAGCTACAGTTAAATGTCTATAACCCTCTCAACTTATCAACGTAAACATATCTGAGGTTTTTTCAATGCTAATCATAAACTTTTCTAATAAGCTTATATTTTGTCTGAGCTAACAATTTAACCATAAGCAACTCTACTTTTCCTGTATTTGGCTCCTCTCAGTCAGAGAAAATGAATACCTGTACAGTTTTAAAAACAGTGGTTGACTGGAGATTTCCATGAAAACTTGAGATTAACTAAATAAATCTCCCCTGCTCCAGAACCAGAGAAGACCATTTTATTTGTCATTTTTTATTACTGTGACAAAACCCAATGTTCAAGGCAATTTATACAACAAAGTATTTAATTGGGCTTATAGGTTCACAAGGTTAGAGTCCATGATGGCAGGGCAAATGCTTCGTGGTATGAATATTTTAGAGCTCACACTTTGATCCATAAACAGGAGGCAGAGAGATCACACAGAGAACAGCATGAGCCTTTTGAGATTTCAGAGTCTGCAATCAAGGGTATACTATTTAGTGTTTCCCATATAGTTCCAACTGAGGAACTACTATTCTAATTGGAGACTTTGGAGGCCTTTTGTCTTTTGAGTCAACCACCTGCTTACCTCTTCTCAAAACCAATGATAATCACTCAAGGCTGAAAGCAAAAAGGCAAGCTTAACTTAGACATCTTGTCCCATATGTCTCCTAAGTTCTAATATTTTTAAGTCACAAAACACTGCAGTCCCAGTAAAGAGTCTAATCAGAGTGAGTGTCACACACACACAGAGAAACAGAGAGAGAGAGAGAGAGAGAGAGAGAGAGAGAGAGAGAGAGAGAGAGAGGTATATACTCATGAACATAAATGAAAAATGGAATAAATATTTTTAAGTCACAAAACACTGCAGTCCCAGTAAAGAGTCTAATCAGAGTGAGTGTCTGTAGAAGAAAAAACAAACATGGGGATCAGGCAGTCCAAGTCCAAAGTTGGGCACTACTATAAACTTCAGGATTTTTGGGAAAAAAATTGGAGCAAGGAGCAAGAAGTTTGTACATATAAGATTTGTACTGAGTCCAGGCTCAGTAGCTAGAGAAAAATGCCTGTCACCTTCTCAACACAACACTTACCTTTGTGGTCTTTACACTACTATTCATAAATATTTATAGTAACCCTTGATTTTACCTGAGCTAATAATTTAGACTTGTACACACTTCTCTCAAGTAAGTGGCGGATTATCCACTAAATACAGACAATTATGTGTGATGACTGAGGTAGCATACTGGAGCAAAAACGATTATTTTATGGAAACCAACTTCTTAGTTTAAGAAATAAAGAAATTCTTTGAAACACCTTACAGAACCATAGCTAAGATGGTAACTAGGTCATTGTTTGACAATGTTTTTAATTACAAAAAAACTCAGAATTTACTAATGTTTGAACTAAGCCTTTATTTTAATTATCTCTTTGACTTTAATTGAATTTTATGACATGGTTGAAACTCTGAAGACTAAGTAACCAACTGGCCTTCAAAAAACAGAGATCAGCATTTTGGCACATTTTGAAGGAAGTGATAAATATCTTGGTCATAAGAACTACTCTCATCTATCATAGGCATAATCAGACCCCTTCCTTTTTACAATTATAAAAATAGCCTAGACGCTTATTTTGGTTATTGTCATATAGTGCCAAAAATTATCTGTCGTAAAGACGCAAACCAAGTCACCTGGAATACAGGAAAGGTTGCTACTCACAGATTAGTGCCATGACCTGGATTGTGATATATACTTACGAGATTTTTTGGTGGTGACATTGACTGGGGGACTTGAGGGTCCTGTCCCTGCAGTGTTGTAAGCTCTCACAGAGGCAAAGTAAATTGTATTAGCTCTTAGACCTGTAATGTTCTTTGTTGTGACATTTCCACTGACTCTACTTTTACCAACCATAGATTCTTTAGAGTTGTCTGTCCAGTATAAGACCTGAGTGGTGAAATCAAATGAACAAGTCATTGTTTTGTGAAAAAGTATCAGCCATTGGAGTATAGTAAGATGACATAAGTATAAAGGATAAAACATATGTTTAATTAAAATGGATACATATCGCTAGCAAAATAGATGTCTAATATTTATCAAGAGTAATCCAGAAATATTTGCCATGAAAGAAGACAAGCTGAGCATTTTTAGGTGATCAAAATAATTAATGAACTATCTAAAGATTATCTACTTTAACAAATGGTATATAATTCAGAATAAAAGAAATTCTATGCCATCAATAAAATTTTTAGTTCTGATTTTTTGGTATTACCATTTCTTTCAAGGATCTTGGAGTCCAAGGCTGATTAATAACCCAACTCACTCTGATCACTTGCTATGCAATAACCTTGTTTCAGACATACTGCATCAAGACGTAAGACTATAATGTTCAGTAATATCCCTTAGTCCCTCAAGTTGGAATGTATATGTATAAAGAATGCATAGCATGAATTCCAAAGAAGGGGAATTGGAAACAACTGATCTTAGAATTTGAAGAGTAGCAATGCTAGTCAGTGAGGAGCACAGAGATTAGATAAATACCAGTGTTTGGGGATAAGAAGTTTGATATCCTAGGCATGTCATTTCAGACACACCTGTCATGTGATGTTCAAGGTTTTGTTTCTTTCAGAGGGAATACGGGAAAAGTGGAGAAAAAGTGCAAGGAAAAAATATAGATATTTATAAAGATATAGTTCTATAAACAACAACAACAAAATACTCATGTCCTGACTCATTGGACTTGCAAGAAGAACAATAAGTGATTAATGATGTCCCTTTTACTTGAACTTTATAAAACTCCTATAAATGTGATTTACTTCATTCTAAGCAGTTTAAATTGAACAAATGGTGGAAATGTTTTATTGTTTTCCTTTTGTCACTTTGGCCCCTTGATCTTGATGATGAAATCTTTTCAAATCATATCCCAAGTGAATTTCTCAGTAAAATTCTTTGGTTTAATATCTACAAAGGCTTAACTTTACCCCCCTCAAGCACTTGGGAGGCAGAGGCAGGTGGATCCCTGTGAGTTTGAGACCAGTCTGGTCTACAAGAGGTAGTTCGAGGACAGCCTCCAAAGCCACAGAAAAAGCCTGTCTCTAAAAACCAATAATAATAATAATAATAATAATAATAATAATAATAATAATAAATAAAAACCCGTTTCCCTTCTTTAAGAATGACTATAGTTCTTATAACTAAACAACTTAGTTTCCTAACCATTTGTAAAAAGCTATTGTGTTAAGAACATTTTACATGAGCTCTGTCCTCTTAACTAATTTTTATCCATCACGTTTGATGTACACCTGCATTTGTAGACCACTCATCTCAGCTAATCCCAACTATATACCTATTAAAATGGATATTTTATAATGTTAAATTTGATTGCTTAAGACAACCTGCAAACATTCCCATCTCTGTCTTGAGTTACAACATTGCAATATGTATCTTCAATGATACTACAAAGACCTCTGTATAAAAAGGCCAATGAAATTATGGGGAGGAAGAGGATTCTTGAAGTGGTCGGGCCTTCTAAAGAGAGTTATATCATTGAGGTCACACCCTTTAAAGAGATAATGTGATATTGGACTTGTCCTGTATCATTATTTTCTGGCTGCCTTGGCAAGCATGTTCCCCTTCCAGGTGTTCTCATAGCAAGCATGTCCTTAGAGTGACCCCCAAATCAATAACCCAATATATACTAAAGGACTGGAACTTTGAGCCAAAATAAATTGTTCATTCTTTCATTTATAAAAACATAATTTTTGGGTATGTAAGCAAACATATGTGTATTTGTGTGTGTGTGAGACCATGTGCATCTTTGCATGTAGAGGCCAGAAAAGAGCATAGATTCATCTCTCTAGCATATCCTCACACATATTTCCCACATTCTTCTTTAAAAATAGATTCTCTTAGCTGTTTGGGTACATTGGTATAAATCAGCATAACAACAGATGGACTGTTTCACGACAGGAAATAGAGCAGCGTAAAAAACTCCTGTGCAAAAGCTATTGTGTAGTGAACTGTTGCATATATATGCAGAGTGAGGTCAATGTGAATTACCTCATAGCCCAGCACTCTTCCAGTGTTTCTATTCCAAGCAATGGCATTCCAGGAAACCTCCATTTCAGAGGCAGAAAAACTCTGGACAGAAGTTCCTCTTGGGGCCAGCTGGGGTTCTACCATTAAAGAAGAGACATCACCATCTTCAATAGAGAGCCACAAGGAAAACAAATCCCTCCAAAAGGAGACTGTGCACAGTTACAAGTTAAACCATCCCAGCACTAAAGGCAGCTTACCATCTTCACCAGAGTAGACAATGGACACAGTACTCAGGGATCCTTCTCCTTCATCGTTGTACACTCCTACTTTAACTTCAAAGGGAGACAGGGGCATGATGCTTTCATTTCTGTAAATGAACCTTGATGATTCCACAAGTGCTACCCTTTCTTTCATCCAGGTTGTTGATCCCACTGGCCGGAACATGACGATGTAACCAAATCCCTCGCCATTCTGTAGTTCTTCTGGAATGGACTTAGGCAGAATGCAATCAACCACTGAGTCATTCTACACAAATATTTTGAACTATTGTCATATTTGTTGATTACTTGGTGTTTCTTCTATAGAGGCAGTTTTGGATAATTATAATATTTATTGAAGAATTAAAGATACATTTATTTAGAATACCATTTAGATAGCTCTAGTTTTCAAAAAGAAATATAAAGTAGGTATTACTTGCTTTTATCTCCTTTATTAGGAAAATGATTCTAATACAAAGTACTCATAAATAGCTCTAGTTTTCAAAACGAAATATAAAGTGTGTATATCTACTTTATTCATCTTTCATAAATTGCCATGATGAAATACACTAGAAGAGTGAGAGATTTAATTATACAAACTACAATATAATCTTACATGAATTTTTAAGCTTGCCACCAAATTAACTTATTAGCTATTTATCTCATGCTAAATATATTTTGTTTTCAATATTTTAAGAAGTTCTAAGATGAGTGTGACATACTCACTTTTTAGTATCATATACCTTAAGAAATAAAGTATTTTATTCAAAAGCATAAAGAAGCTGTCAGTATTTTAAAACATGTGCTTCACAAATAGCATCAGAGTGCATTTTTCCTCACAAAAAGTATATATACATATTGTGAATTTCCAAAACTCAAATTCCACACAACACGGTCAATGTCTTCTCAATGAACAAAAGTAGATATGTGTTCTTTCAGAATTTTTAATGTAAAAATTATAATTATATGAACCCAGAAAAAATGAGTTTATGCTTCAATCTGTACAAAATTTGCACCTGATTATAGCTATATTTTATTTATGAATCCATGGAATGTATTGCCTTTTTATAGCAAAAATACTCTTGCATTATTTTGTTATTTATTTTTTGCAATGTGTAACTGGCATAGCACAACACCAGTGTTTTTTATAGTCACATATGCACTTACTAAATTCCTTTATCTTGCTGTTTACACAGAATCCTCCAGTTACACACTCTAGAGCCAAAGGCATCATGTACCATGTACCCTAGTATCTGTGATGAGTTCTGCTGTCGACCCTTTGTGCTCTATAGCAAATAATAAACCCAACTGGTTCCTCTTACGAAACCTGGGGAGTAGAGACTAAGTTTGTTGTTGTTGTTGTTGTGGGGTGGTTGTGGGTTTTTTTCCTCTCAGGAAAGAGAGATTGCTCTGCAGGTGCTCATTTTGTTGACCAGCGATCTATGTCTGGATTCATATGGTGGAAGGAGAAAATAGACACCTGAACGCTCTCTTTTGAACTTCCTATGCAGAAAAGAAATGAATGCAATGACTAGCTTTAAAAGCTCTAAAGTAAGTAGAGGAAAAATAGAATTTTGCTACCATAGGTTTCAAAGAGAAATGGAAAGAGCTGCATGCATGCACAAGAAACTGGGAGGACTTGGACTTGACTACAACAACACCTGACCCTGAATAAGAATGCCTGTGGTCTACAGTGTTGGACAATGGTCCACTTACTCCATTGACTGCCTTTTAACTTTTTACGTAGCTTTAAAATAAGTGTCCATTAACTGAGTTGACCCAAGCTAGTCTCTATTTATGACATATAAGACACTATAGCAAACATAGAAAGATGAGAGAAACCACAATTTTTGACCTGGGGCAATAGTAGGACTATTTCTTTTGTGTGTAGGAAGACTAGAATTAATTACTTAATCAGGCAAAATTCGCAAGATGTTTTTTAGACTTCAGCAACATGCTTTAGATTTATTTTGAAGCTTCTTCATTTTCAGATGTGATTGCAATGTTTAGTTCTGTAAAGACTACAATGGAGTTTTATTAAACGACAACCTCTTTCTATCACTCTGTTCATTCAAGAAAGGACTGAGCCCAATAAGTTCATTTTAACATGAGGAAATAGTGGGTTATTTAGCTTCTCCATTCATTTTCTCAAATGGACTAAGAGCCATGTGTTGAAGAAGAAATCTACATAGAATGTTAAGGTAACAAGAAAGAGAATTTTCTCCATCCCCAAAAGAAAATGCTAAAAAAAAAATCAGATATTCTGTTGAATGTAAAAATCAATTAAAATTGATAAGGACTAATAACTCTCAACCACATTTAATATAAACCAAATCTAATCACAAATATTGGCCTAGTCCCATCTACCTTGGAGGCTGGTTTTAAAATAAGAATTTGGATGACCAGACACTATATGCTTCAGACAAAGGAATAGATAGAATGAAATTAGAAATGATCTGGAACATTCCTCATTGAGAACTTGTTCCCATAGTATGATGGTGTATGGAACAAGCTATAAAGGGAGAAAAATAATCAATAGTCCTAGACAATTGTAATGTCTTTGCAAAATGACAATCAATTTCCAGCAGGTTAAGATGTCCTCCAACGGTGCAATGGTTCTTTTTATATCGTAGTGATCACCAACATCTGTTTAATTGGAAATAAAGCCTGTTAAATAGATGTAAATTCATACTAGAAAACTAGAGCTATACCCTTGACTAGAAAGACTGTGGGACCTAGTGGAGAACCTATTACTGCCACTTTCCTACACCAAGATAATTTTTAACTTGTCACAAATACCTATCCTTATAATCATATAAAAATGTAGTTTTTTCCTCTCATTAAAGAAGTTTGTTTTCATTTCAGAAAAACAAAACTGGCCAAAATCAAGAGGAAACATGGGGGTATTCAACCACAGTTTATATATCTGCCCTGCAGACCCTATTCCTAAGGTTCAGGCATCATTGAAAAAGTGGGAAGGAAAGACTGTAAGAGCCAAAGGACAAGGATGTCTTCTGTTCAATAGTGTCTTCCATATGGGAGAGGAAAACTGAACAGATACAATGTCAAAACTATGATTAACTAAACAAGACATGCATAACAATAACAGCTAACATGTCAACAGGAATGGGAGAAATCACAAAGCTCTACCCATTGATGTATAACTACAGACAACTTTCAAAGGCTGCTACGAGAGTAAAGATCAGTTTACTCCAGTGATGATCTCCCTCAGATGTCCTGTTATTCCATGTGATCAAACCTAAACACATACACATGAGTAACACTAATGGAGTATATTTACACACACACACACACACACACACACACACACACCAATAATAACATTAAGGAAGGTGTCATGTATTTAAGAGACGGAGGGTGATACAGGATAAGTTGAAGGGAAAGGAGGAGGCAGTGGAAACAATGTTAAGTGTGCACGAAATTCTCAAATTAAAAAAAATAAAGATTCAGATTCAGGGAACATAGGCACACATCTGCATTCTGTTAATATAGATACATTAGGACTATAATAATAGAGTGAAACTTTATAAAGGGGACAAAATTATCCACAAGGTTCAATAGTTTCACTGTATATAACAAGTGTGCCAGCCTCAGTCATAGGTCATTATCTCCATAATGTTGTTTCCTATATTCCTGTTTATAGCCATATTGGATGTGATACATCACTTCATACTTGAACTATTAGAGACCATAAAGTAATAACACACAATAATATTCAGTTTGTATTTGTTTTTTTCTGATTTACTTCTGATATCATCAATACAACATCAAATTTTGCCATGTGGCAAATTTAAATTCATAAATATGCAAACTAGACCACCATCACTCCCAAAACAAAAATGGAGTACATAAGAACTAAAGTATTTCTGATCTTGGAAATAAACAAGGTAGGAAATAAGCAAAACTCATGTCTACTGGAAGAAAGGTTCTTATACAGACTCTGATTAATATAGAAATTTAAATGGCATATTCACCACCAAAATCAAAAGCAATTTCCTAGCTACTCTCACTAGAAACTTCAAATTCAAATGACCAAGAATAGTGTTTCACTAGCTGCTTAAAGCATCACAGGAAAACTCTGTTCACCATGAGTTAGGACAACATAAAAAATAATGTTGGGCAAAATTCCTGTGTTCAGATGTTTCAGTGCTCAGATAAACCACATTTTATTTCAGTTTCCATAGATGACAGCTCTGTACCCTACTGCCTAACCTTAATGGGAGGGCATGAGTCTCTCTGGGTGACCCACAAAACCCTGCAGTTCTGCACAAATGTGACTCCCCTATCTCTTAGGTCTTTAAGCTCCTGTGCTCTTAGTTCACAGCTCCTACCAAAGAGGGCTTATGGAGGGCACCCTATCAGCTAAGCACTGTACTTGATAATACGCATAGGAAACAAGTGGCACTGAAGCAATGATCAATTGCAGGGCAGCTGCAGTTGATGTCTCATTGTCATTTGGAATCTAGAGGAAACTACATTTACTCCCTAGGCTGCCCTACCACCCCCATGTAAGCAGGATTGATTATTAACATTGTCTCACAATTGCTTCTCCGTCTGTTCTCTCATTCTCTCTTTCTGGTGCAGAATTTCTCAACCATATCATTAGTCATACTTGGATCAGATAACTATTGTAGAAATCTATCTACATAGGCTGTTTGGCAGCAATCTGGTCTTTACTTGGCTTTCCCATACCTGGCCACACCCACTGCCTTGGTTATTACCAACTAAGCACTCTGTCTTTGTAAAATTTCCTACATGCGATAGAATTCCTGGCTAAGTAAGTATGGAGCAACAAATGAAAAATTATAGACCTGGTGAAACTGAAGTAGCCAGGCCCAACCTTTAGTCATCAGGCTGCGTAAGGCTGGGTGCAAGAATGCATGAATGATGTCCCACAAAAATAGAAAATTTACTTAAAATGTTAGGGCAGATGTTTTAATTATGCTTTTTTTTTGACATCTCAATTGCAATGGGATGACAACTCGAAAGTGGTAACCCCTCATTGCAATGTCAAAAGATTGGACACACCTGCTTTCACGTTTATGAAAAAAAATGATAATAAAATTTTAATCTGGAAAAGAAAACTGAATTTATATGTTAATATGAAGTAAAATGACTGGGAAAGCTATTTGATACTTCTGAAATTTCATCTAACTGCTGGGAAAGAACACTTGATTCTGTAAAGAACACTGTTAGAGCAATAATCAATTTTTGCCTGTGCTCTACTAAGTCTACAATAACCACAATAAAATAATTTCACAGCTAATCAATAAAATAGTACCCAACCCACCTAGTCATAATCACAATAGTACGGACCACTGCTCAGTAGATACTGAAATTTTTTTTCTTATATGTGGAACAATTTGAGCTGAGTTAGTTGTATTCTTTTACTTTAGTAGAAATAAGAGTTACACAATACCACCCGTAAATAATTTATTGTTAGGGTGATGTATTTTTTCCTGAATTTTTATATATCCTCTGTAGCAATCAAATAACGCTCTGTTGTTTTTCAGTATTCTCCCTGGCTAACTCAATATTTCTCTTTCAAAAATAACTTAGTGGGACAGAAAATTACCTCCCACGTAATGACGAGTTCCGACCTGCTTCCACCGCCTCCATTGATATTTACTGGTGCCACTATGGGGACTGCAGAAAACCAAAAGAAATGTGGATGGTTAGGTTGAAAGAAATGACTTCATCAAGAAGAGTTCTGTTTGGGAGGGTTTCACCTTTCAAAGCTCTCACCCTGGCAGACTGAGAGAGTGTTGAATTTTTAATGAACATAAATGATGTTTATACATATCCAAATTTCTAAGAGAGAGGACACAGTTTTGTTTGATACATGGGCACCTTGGCTCCAAAATTAATTAAAAATCAAGTAACATCATGTGTTTGACATTATTATGCATCATCTACTAATTGGCAAAATGATGTTGCATTCAGATGGTAACGGTGACACTGCTGATTTAGTGCCTAATTATACAGTTGTGCTGTAAACAAGTTACTCAGGCAGTACATTAATTAATTATTTTTTGTCAATAAACAAGCTGGATGTTTTTTCTTTCTTAACCATCAGGATATTTTAACATTTAAAATGAAATCCTTGTACTCAAATTACTCTGGAGAGAATGAGAGTAATTTTTAACTTTTCACTTATTAAAGAAAAGATTTCTGAATGGATCCAGGGAGACCGGGGAACCAGCTATTCCGGCAGGACCAGGTAAAACAGACCCTGTATCTGGGCCTGTGTTCCAGTGCGTGGGGATCACCTGGGAACTGAACAGTTTCCAATCCTGGCAGGAATCAAGCACCCCAGACTCCAGGACTTCTCTCCCACCAACGATACCAGGAAACCAGAGGAGCCAGTGAGACCAGGGAACCAGCTGTTCTGGCAGGACCCAGTACAACAGGCCCTGCATCTGGGCCTGTGTTCCAGTGCCTGGGGATCGCCTGGGAACTGCACAGAGCTTCCAATCCCAGCAGGAGCCAAACACCCCAGACTCCAGGACTTCTCTCCCACCAACGAGACCAGGAAACTAGCAGATCCAGGGAGACCAGGGGACCAGGTGGTAGGCTAAGCGCCCCAGATTCCTGGTCTTGTTCTCCACCCATGGGACCAGAACGAGGACAAGGAATAGAAGAACTACCAGATTATTGGACTTGCTAGCACCCACCAAAAGGGAACTCTGGTCCCCAAACCACCAGACCAGTAAGGGGCTCTTTCTGCACCCACTAGAAGAAGAGATGGGAAAGAGACAATACAAAAACACACTCAGCAACAGAAAAACAAATACGATACCACCAGAATCTAGAGACTCCAAACCAGCAAGACTCCAACATTCCAATGCAAATGAAGCAGAAGAGAATGACTTAAAACCACCTTCATGAAAATGATAGAGGCCCTAAAAGAGGATATAGGAAAATCCCTCAAAGAAATGGATGAAAAAACAAACCAAAAAATTCAAGAAATGGAAGAAAAAACAAACCAAAATATGCAAGAAATGGAAGAAGAAACAAAGCAAAAAAAGCAAGAAATGGAAGAAAAACAAAGCAAAAAATGAAAGAAATGGAAGAAGAAACCAAAAAAGGCAGGAAATGGAAGAAAAAGCAAACCAACAAGTGCAAGAAATGGAAGAAAAAGCAAACCAAAAATGCAAGAAATGGAAGAAAGAACAAACCAAAACATGCAAGAAATGGAAGAAAAAAGAAAACAAAAAAATTCATAAAAGGCAACAAATGGATGAAAAGATAAATTGAAAATTGCAAGAAACAATGCAAACAGTGGAAGGCTTGAAAACGGAAATAGAGTCAATAAAAAAACAATATGAAGAAAGACAGGAAATAGAAAAGCTGGGCAAACAGTCAGGTACTACAGATAAAAGCATTACCAACAGAACCCAAGAGATGGAAGAGAGAATCTCAGGTGTTGAAGATACACTAGTGGAAATGGATTTATCAACCAAAGAAACTCTTAAGTCCAACAAATCCTTAACACAAAACATCCAGGAAATATGGGACACCATGAAAAGACCAAACCTAAGAATAATAGGTATAGAAGAAGGAGAAGAAAACCACCTCAAAGGGGCAGAAAACATGTTCAACAAAATCATAGAAGAAAACTTTCCCAACCTTAAGATAGACATGCCAATGAAGGTACAAGAAGCTTACAGAACACCAAATAGAGTGATCACAAAAAAAGTTCCCTTGCCACATAATAATCAAGATGCCAAATATACAGAATAAAGAAAGAATATTAAGAGCAGCTAAGAAAAAAGGCCAAGTAACATATAAAGGCAAACCTATCAGAATTACACCTGACTGCTCCATGGAAACTCTGAAAGCCAGAAGGTCCTAGATAGATATTCTAACAACACTAACAAATCATGGATGCCAGCCCAGACTACTATACCCAGCAAAGCTCTCAATCATTATAGATGAAGAAAACAAGATATTCCATAACAAAACTAGATTCAAGCAATATGTATCCACTAACCCAGCCCTACAGAATGTTTTGGAAGGAAAAATCCAACCCAAGGAAGTTAACTACAACCAGAAAAACATAGGCATTAGAGAATCCCTCTCTACCAACAGCCAAAAGAACAAAGGGGTGAAATTCCACACATAATTCCACCAACAACAACCATTCCAAATCAAAGAAGAATGAGCAATCAATGGTCATTAATATCCCTCAACATTAATGTCCTTAACTCACTCATTAAAAGACACAGGTAGCAGAATGGATTCAAAGACAGAAACCATCCTTCTGCTGCATACAAGAAACACACCTCACCCTCAAAGACAGACATTACCTGCGAGTTAAAGGTTAGGAAAAATTTTTCCAATCAAATGGACCCAAGAAACAAGCAGGGGTAGCAATCCTAATATCTAACAAATTAGACTTTAAAATAAAATCAATCAAAAGAGATGAAGGAGGTCATTACATACTCATCACAGGCGAAATCCTCCAAGATGAAGTGTCTATACTGAACACCTGTGCCCCAAATACAAAGGCATCCACATTCGTAAAAGAAACATTACTAAAACTTAAATCACATAAAAAGCCCAACACACTTATAGTGGGAGATTTCAACACACCACTATCACCACTAGACAGGAATTCCAGACAGAAACTCAACAAAGAAGCATAGTGTCTAATAGAAGTAATGAACGAACTGGGATTAACAGACATCTATAGAACATTTCATCCACATAAAAAAGAATATACCTTCTTCTCACCACCACATGGATCCTTCTCAAAAATAAATCACATAATTGGCTACATATCCAACCTCAGCAGCTTCAAAAATTGGAATAACTCCATGCATATTATCAGACCACCATGCTTTAAAATTAGAATTCAACAACAACACAGATTGCAGAAGACCTACAAACTCATGAAAATTGAATAATGCACAACTGCATCATTCCTGGATCAAAGAAGAAATAAAAAAAAGAAATTAAAGACTTCCTAGAATTCAAAGAGAATGAAGACACAGCATACCCAAACCTATGGGACATTTTGAAAGCAGTGCTACAGGGGAAGTTCATAGCACTAAGTGCCCACATGAAGAAACTGGAGAATAGTTATACTAGAGAATTAACAGCACAGCTGAAAGCTATAGAACACAAAGAAGCAAACTCCCCCCAGGAGGAGTAGACGCCAGGAAATTGAGAGCTGAAGTCAATAAAGTAGAAACTAGGAAAACAATACAAAGAATCAATGCAACGAAGAGTTGGTTCTTTGAGAAAATCAACAAGATAGAGAAACCTTTGTCCAAACTCACCAAACAGCAGAGAGTGAATACGCAAATTAAAAAAATCAGAAATGAAAAGGGGATATAACATCGGACTCTGAGGAAATTCAGAGAATAATCAGGTCATACTTTGAAAACCTGTACTCCACAAATTTCGAAAATTTAAAGGAAATGGATAACTTCCTGGACAGCTATCATTTGCCAAAACTAAATCAAGAACAGATAAGCAATTTAAATAGACCTATAACCCCTATGGAAATAGACACTGTTAATACTGATGTAATAAGAAGAAAACTGTGTTATTCATCTCTGTGTTTTTCAAAGTCTATGAGGACAGAAGTTGTAAATATGGTTGAAGGGAAATTGTGACCATAAGAAGTACTAGTGTGTACCTCAAGGGAGTGGGTAGTCAGAATAAAGATTTTATCACATATTTAGGAGGATTAGAATATCTTTTCTGTTGACATAACAGCAAAAGCAAACTAAATCTGTAATAATGGATAAAGTACAGTGTATGCTTTCCAAGTGTTGAATTGTGTAAAGTTATTCACATGGTGCCATTTTTGTCCAAGATTCAGAAGTTGGGATTGAGATTTCTGGGTATGGTTGAGGATTTCAATCAAAGACGAAAGTAAGTGTGTGTGTGTGTGTGTGTGTGTGTGTGTGTGTGTGTGTGTGTGTTGGGGGAAGCTCAACTACTCATGTAAATTTTCTTTCAGACAATTGTGATTGAGGCAATCTAAAGAAACCCAAGTTTCTCACGTCATTCTTTATTCAGATGTATAGCTCTATCAATAAAATAGTGGTATGATAATCTTTTGTTCCTTCTGAAGACAGCATTTGTTTAGCATACATTTTTTGTTCGATTTATTCTTCATTTTGTTCACTTACGATATTCATAAATTTCATATTAATATAAGCCACACTGTCTAAGTATTGTCATTCATTTTGTCAAAAGCAGCATGATCAGAGCAATGTCTACAGAGTTACTGGATATATAAAGTAGTTGACAACTTCACACATGTATTAAGACGTTCTTTAGTTAGTTATGTACATAATAGTTTTACACTAAAATAAAGTGGGTTTTTTTTCTAGTTTCCAATGTAATGAGAAGCAGAAAAATTCTTCCTTTTAAAACATATTTTATGGAACCCGGTTGAAGAGAGGGAGGAATCATGAGCAAAGGGATCAAGACCAGGCTAGTATAACCCACAAAAACTGCTGACATGAACAAGAGGGAGATCATGGACCCCAGACTGATGGCTGAGAGGACAGCGTGGAACTGATCCAGATCCCCTAAATTTGGGTGCAGTGAGGAGGCCTCAGCAATCTATGGGACCTGGGGTAGTAGATCTGTATTTACCCCTGGCTTACAAATTGACTTTGGGTGCCCATTCCACATAGAGGGATACTTTCTCAGTCTGGACACATGGGGGAGGACCCAGGCCCTTCCCCAGATGATATGACTGACTTTGGAGATCACCCATGGAGGGCCTCACCCTCCCTGGGGAGCGGAGTAGGGACTGGGTGGGGAGTGAAGGGGTTGGTGAGGGTCAACTGAGGAGGGTGAGGGACCTGGGATTGACCTGTGAAGCAAGCTTATTTCTAATTTAAATTAAAATATATATATAAAAGACAAAGATACCTAAATAAGGAAAGCTTCAGATGGCCAAGCAGAGACCATTTCAACACTCCAAAGACAGTAATTATGGTCACTTGGAATAGATTTGGCTACATAAAAAGAGCAACAGCCCTCACAGAGAACAAATAATAGAATTTGCACCAATGAAAACACACCCATGAGCTTCTATAAACTGTTCTGTCAATTCAATTCAACTAACATGAGCCTTGTACTGGGGATTAACAGCACAGGTAAGAAGCATGCCCAATGAAGAGGAGAAAGCAGAACAATAAAGAATGTTTAAGGTGGAAAGAAACATATTTTTTTAATTTATGTGTGTGTATTTGGGGACATGTGCAGGTGCTCATGGAAATTAGATGAGGGCAGTAGAGTTGGAAATATCGATAGGTTTGAGCCACTGAATCTGGGTGCTGTGAACTCAATCCAGGTACTCCAGAAAAGCAGGAAGCAAAGCGCTCTTAACTTCTTTTTTCTTTTCCTAGACAGGGTTTCTCTGTGAAATAGCCCTAAGTGTCCTGGAACTACCTTTGTAGACCAGGCTGGCCTCAAATTCACAGAGTTCCCCATCCATTATCTCTTGAGTGCTGTGATTAAAGACCTGTGCCACTCCTTCTGGGCAAGTTCTTAACTTTTGAACCATGTCTTCATCCTCTCCTTTCTTTATTGAACTTATCACGAACTAATCTTGATAGTAAATCTATATTGAAGAAAAGTTATTCTTTAATTACCAGAAAGAGGGGATGGGCAGGTTCTTTAGAATGACACAGTACTCCAAATTTTACGGTTCATGAGAGTAATAATGGTCAGTAACAATAGACACACAAATGTTACTGCATTAACTTTACAACTGGTGTCAGTCTTGTAAAAAACTACAAGTCGTAAGGTGGCAAAACAAAACAAAAAAACCTGAAAACTAAAGCTAGTGTCCAGAGTCATTGGGTCTAAGGTGGATCTGAAGCTACTGCTCATCTGGGTGGATAGTAAAGTGTTATTTGAACAATTATGGGTATAAAAATCAGAGCTAAGGGTTCGAATACAGAATGTCAGAAAAAAAGAGCTTAGGTCCTGTTCTTTAGTGCATTCTCAATAAAAGGAACCTCCCATGTACCTTCAGACTCCAGCATGATTTAATTCAGTGTCGGTGTTTTCAAATTTATTTTGTTTCGGTAATCAATTCTAAAGCAAAAGTATGGTGACGGGTGGGGATGCGTGTTGCCTGTTAGGGCGCTTGACTGGTATGAGAAAGCATTGAGTTCAATTCATAGCACTACAAAAACAAAACAAATTAAAACATGACTTTCCTTTAACAGGAAACTATTGGAATAACTAAACTCATGTTTCTTAAACTAAGGTAACAATAATAAAGAGAGTTTACATTTACTTGGCTGAAAAAGAATGGGAATTTTATGTGGTTTTCATGACAAAAGACTTGGTATGCTACCCTAGAAGTGAAGGCTGAGGAGACACAAAGAGGGTCTGTTATAAAGAATTTAGGAAGATATGACTCTGCGCAGGCTAGACACTGGGGAGTGGGGGTGAAGAGGTGCCTTGGTCCTGTCTCAGATAGATAATGGGACATACTTATTAGACTTCCTATGGGAGGCCTTACCGTCTCAGTGGAGCAGATGGGAGGAGTGGAGAGTGGAGGGAGTGGGAGAAAAAGAGGGAGGGGGAACTGGGAATAGAATGCAAAAAATAAATTGATAAATAAAAAGAGGACATGATTCCAGCAAGGTTTCACTTGGGTTCTGCTGTTCAGTGAACCAGCATATAATCACCATTCTTGTTCAGTGAGATTAGGAATTACCTTATTTTCACAGGGAAAAAATTATAATATTTATCAGTGAATGTATAACTAGATCAGAGATGAAAAACATATACAAATGAGTATTGGCTGAGCCAAATAGATTTTGTATTAATTCTTTACCACCATCTAATGCGCAAACCATAACACACCTTCCAATTAGATTCCATATTAGAGTTTGAGTAGGAAATATTTTACAAATTGCTTTGCAAAGCCCTTACTTTGACACATCTGTTTAAGTACGCCAACTCAAATTCAAGATCTGATTGTGGGAAAGGGATGAATGGGATGCACATGGTTTTGGTCCAATACATTTCTGAAAACTAGAAACACTAATTCATCAATGCTAATTTTGTTTTTACAATCCTTAAAGACGCACAGAATTTCTTCTTTAAGAACTATGACAGAAAGGATCGTCCATGCCTGCCGCAAACATTGGTCTCTTTCTTACCTGTTGCTTTGGTTCTCAGCAATTCTGATGGTTTGCTTGGCTCTCCAATCCCAATGTTGTTCCCAGCAACAACACGGAATTCATATTCCACCCAAGGACTCAAACCAACTACTGTTGCATTATATGTCTGGCCACTGAGAATTTCAGGTACTAATACAAACAAACAAACAACAAGTCAGAACTGAGGACTTAAGTCATGAATAGGCACTAGGAAAAAGCAGAAAATTATGCTTGCTTTTTACATTTTTTTCCATATGAAGTTTCAAATTACTGTTTTTTCAATTTCTGTGTAGCATTATGTGGGGAATTTGATGGGAATTAGATTGAATCTGTTGATTGCTTCTTGTAGACTGGTCATTTTCATGATGTCAATCCTACTGATCAATAATCATGGGGAGGGCAGTCTTCCTATCATCTGTAGACTTCTTCAATTTTTTTCTTCAAAGTCTTACAGTTTTTATTATATAAATGTTTCACTTGCTTAGAGTTATTGTAAGATATTTTGATTTTCAAGACTATTATGAAAGGTAATGTTTCTATCCTTTCTTTCTAGGTCTGTTTGTCATTTGAATATAGGAAGGCTACTGATTTTTCTGTGTTAATTTTGTATCTTGTTACTTTGCTGGAAGCATTTATCTGCTATTGGAATGTCCTTCTGGTGTCTTTAGAGACTGTTATGAATAATAATATAACATCTGCAAATAAACATTCTTTGACTTCTTCCTTTCCTATTTATATCCACTGATCCCCCTCAATTTTCTTATCATTGCATTGAACAGGTATGGAAAGAGTTAACATTCTTGTCATGTTCTTAATCAGAATGGAAATGCTACATGTTGCTCCACATTTAGAATGGTACTGACTATTGGCTGGCTGCAAAGTACATTTACTATGTTGAAATATGGGCAAGTTGGGTTTCTTTTTTCAAAAATCTTATCTGCATGCAATGAAATGATCATATATTTTCTGTCTTATAGACTGTATTATAGATTACATTTATTGATTTACATATTCCTACTATTGCTGCATAACTTTGACAAAATTAATGTGATCATGGTGGGTGATCTTTTCAATTTGCTCCGAAATTTGGTTTCAAGCATTTTATTGAGAATTTGACATTGTTGTTTCTGAGGAATGTTGAGCTATAATTTCTTTTTGTTTGTTTGTTTGTTTTCTGTTTTTGTTGAGTCCCTATTTTATAGTTTTGGCATTGGGGTAATAGTGACTTCACAAAAAGATTTGGAAATATCTTTCAGCTTTTATTTTTCAGAACAACTTGTGGAGTATTGGCATTAGTTCTCTTTTGAAGGCCTTATAGCAATCTGCACTGAATCTGTCTGGCCCTAGATGCTATTGTTGTTGGGATATTTTTAATTGCTGCTTCCTTTTAACTATGGGTTTGGGGTCTGTTTAAATGGCTTCTTTCATCTCAATTTAACTTTGGTATGCCCTATATATCAAGAAGTTAATTCGCTTCTTTTAGGTTTTGCGGTTAGGTAGAACAAAGACTGCTAAAATATAACCTTATGATTCTCTGAATTTCATCATTTTGGGGATGACTTTTCCACTCCTCAGTTTTTAAAATTTGTATCTTCTATGTCTTTCCTTTGGTTATTTTGATTAAAAATTGAGTTTTTCAAAGAACCAACTCTATTTTATTGATTTTTTTGTATAGCATATTTTGTTATTTCTACTTCATTGATTTCAGACCTGAGTTTATTTCTCCCTATCTACTCTTATTTATTCCTATTTTTCTTTAAAGCAAATAAGTGTATCATTAAGTTATTAATATGAGATATTAATACACTTACTTGTAGTAACAGCTTGCCAGCCCACAGAAAAGGGTGTCCGAGTTTGAATAGTAAATATTTGAATTGGGCTGTTGTTATCAGGACCAGGTCTCCAGCTCAGCTGAGAGGTAGTACTTGAGATGTGTTCCACTTTTACTTCCTCTGGAGGACCAGGGGGACCTGGAAAAATTTTATTTATGGTGGCTGTGTTGTAAACATTTAAACACACTAGTTGAGGACTAGAAGGACTTATTTTACATGCCATATATACAAAAAATTACTTAATGAATACAATCTAGTGGTTGTAAATTAAATACTAAAACATCTGTCTTATCCAGATGTGTTATATCACTTCTAGAAATTATGGAATACAAATAATGCATTTATTGGATAGCATATAACCACGAACTGATTTCATATATTAATATCCATCCTTTCTCAATGATAGTGCAATTAAATATAACTAATATGGACAAATGTAAAATCCTATATATTGTATTCTGCAGTGACAGTAATGGCTTATTACAAATAGAAGGTCAGTTTAAATTTTAGGATTTGGCACTGTGTGATAAACACAGTCATTTATTGGCCATCACCACAGAACCCATAAGATAGACTACTGAAGTTTACAAAACAGGAAATAATTTCTAGTTTTCTGTCATCCCCTTGTCCTTATTTAATTACTCAAACAGCTGTCATTTATGCATGGACATTTCTGATCATGAATAAAAAATGGAAGCCCTCTTTCATCATTTCTGCTCACCTCTCACAATGATATCAGCCACAGCAGACAAGCGTTCTAGTGTTGTTTGTACTGTGCAGAGATATTTTCCTGAATGGCCTAATTGAATATTCCTTATCATCAAATCCCCAACAGATTCCTGAAGACAGAAAGAGGAAGCAGGATGAAACCATAATCACACACAGCAGGTCCCATTTTCTTTACAGCTGTGTAGATATTAAACATAAGACACTTTTGAAATTAGGAGATATACTAAGATTATTATAGTTCTCTATAATTGATCCCTTTTATTATCCCTTTTACTTTAATTGCATCTAGAACACAAGTATTTCTGTGAAATACATAAGAATAAAGCAAAACAAAAACAGATGCAGCTTTTTGTACAGTTAGCGATTATGTCTGTAAATGATGACGGAGAGAATGGTTATGGACTACATGGATTCATGTACAACATGCTTTTTCTTATTAAGAACTTAACAATTTTAGATACTTACTCCCCCAATTCTTTCAAAATGAGCCATTTCTTTCTTTAAGTCTATTATATCTCCATTAAAGTACCAAACAAATATTACTTCCATGGTGGGGTCATGAGACACTTGGCAGGGTAAAACAATACTCTCACCAACTGTAACATCCATTTTAGAAGGTGGTATTGTAATGACAGTTCTCTCTGTTGAGAAAAGATTAGTTTTTAAAAGCTTAGAAAATGTGAACATGTGGCTATAAAATACACATTTTTAATGTTATGCTACTATTTTATGCAAAAAAGAAAACACCATTATATTCAGTATGAAAAAATATTCTTCCTGTTTTTTAAACATCTTGTACTTCCATTTTGTTGTTTAAAGTTATAAACAAATGAGTCCTCTATATCACCTTGTCTCTCAAGTCTCAGAGAACAGAGCAGAAGAGGGGGCAGAACCATCATCAGAGCCAGAGATTTGGGATCCCCAGTAGTGGATTTTTCTTGATATGACATGGCTACTTCATTGATGACCTCATAGCATCTGTGGCTGCTTGCACTAGATCAAGCAAATCAACACTGTAGCATAGATCATGAAGGTGTTCATGAAACCCACCTGTTATGAAGGGACTATGGGTACTTGATCAATTGGGGAGAGGGAGACTCAGTTATTTTTTTTAATTTGGTCCCTGGTAGATTGAAAATAATCCAGTAAATTGTCCAATATCCTAGAGTACACAGGAAGCACAATGGTTACTTTAAAAGGCTGATTCCATACGGATTTTCAAAAGTGCTTTAGTATGATTTGTCCTTTCCTATGTTCTCTTCTTGAGTCTGCCTTCCCATTCTCCTTCCCATTTAATACTCTCATTCTAATTTCGTCATTATGTCTTTTGAAGCTATATGGTATTTTTCCTTTCTTGGAAGAACTACTTTCTCTTCCTAGTCCTTTTCTAGCTTCTTAATTTCTGTTTATTCTAATAGGAACATATATATCTAAAGCATATAAGCAAGCATCTGCATATAAGGAAAACAGGCAATATTGTTCTTTGGATTCTGAGTTACCCCAGCCAGGATGATTGCTTCTAGCTCCCTCCATTTGCCTGCAAAACTCATAATTTCATTTTTCTTATCAATCAAATAATATTCCATTATATATATTTAACACATTTTCACTATCCATTCATCGGGTGATGGGCATCTAGCTATTTCCAATCTCTGGCTATCCTGAATAGAGTGACAAAGAACACAAAAGAAGTATCTCTTTAATAAGAGATAGACACCTTAGTGTATGTGTCCAAAAATGGGTTAGCAGCATCTCCTGGTAGATGGATTTTGAGCTTTTGAAGAACTTCACATGAATTTCCATAGTGGATATACTCATTTTCACTCCCACCAACAATGAATAAATATTGCTCTTTCTCTTCATCCTTACCAGCATGTACTTTCATTTGTTTTAATGATCTTGGACATTCTGACTGGTAAAAGACAAATCTTAAAGTATTTTTAATTTGCATTTATCTGACTAAGGAGATTAAACATTTTTATAGTGCTTCTCAGGTGCTTGTGTATCTTTGAAGAGCTATCTGTTTAGTTCTATACCCTATTTTTCAAATTGGGTTTTTGTTTTCTTTTTTTGGTTTTACGAGACAGGGTTTCTCTGTATTGTTTTGGAGGCTGTCGGTCCAGCCTGGCCTCGAACTCACAGAGATCTGCCTGCCTCTGCCTCCCGAGTGCTGGGATTAAAGGCGTGCGCCACCACCGCCCAGTGGGCTTTTGTTTTCTTGATGGTCAAGGTTTTCAGTTTGTTTGTGTTATTTTGGTTTTTTGGTTTTTGGTTTGTTCTGTTTGCTGATCCTTATAATTCAAACTGTTAGTCCTCTGTAAATTGTAAAACTAGTGAAATTTTTTCCTGTTTTGTAGGATGCTGATTTGTTCAACTGATGCTATTCTTTGTGGTAAGGTGATTTTTAAATTTAGCTTGCTGCATCCTATTGATTAATCACTGTTCTTATTTCTTCACTGTCAGTATTCTAAATGGTCATTTTTTTTATGCCATATGTTTTCATTTCTAGGGAAATGAAAGTCTGTTCCAGACTTTCTCTTCTTTCAGATTCAGGGTCTTATGTTGAGTTCCTACATCTATAGAGACCTATTAATATAGAAACTTCATAAAATACAATAATATATGCAGGGAATTTAAATGGAACTACAATATTATCAGACAGATAATGTTCCAACTAAACACCTTTTACCACCATATATTACCTCTCCATGAGATGGAATCCATACTTGACACTGCCAAAATTGCCAAGAACCTGAAACTAGATTAGATCATGAGGCTAAGGGAAAACCTACTACTATTATTCTAGTAAATCAACATAGTAATAAAATAATTCCCACTTACATACTGCTATGCCCATAGAGCAGAACATTAGATCTCATCAGAGAAGCTTCTTCTTATACTAGATGAGGATTAACAAAGAGGCCCACAACTGGACAGTGTTCATGGAATGAGAGACTTTTGAACACTTGACTCTAAAAGGGATGTTTTTATCAAATCTCTCCCCTCAACCCTCAGGGACCTATAAGGAATAAAATGCAGAAAGAAAAGCTAAAGGCAGTCTATGACTCCAAGGAAACAGTGTACAGAGTTTTTCAGACACCACAGGGCTGATAGATATATAAATTCTTAGAGACTAGCTACATTCACCTGACCAACACAAGTTCAAAAGAGAAAAACAGTCCCGTTATGCAGAAGAAGAAGGAGAAATGAAATCCTAGCACTTACCAAGAAGCTACTTAATAATAGATACCTGTCATTATTTCGAAATCAGTTTTTTTTTCCTAATGGTTATATGAACCATACTCCAAGGTAGACACCATGCCCAGGAGTGAGTAGTTGGGAAACACAAAACAGATTCTGTAACTTTTTTGTGACTTTTTTGATATTTTTATCTTATTGTTTCTTTTTATTTTATTTATTTATTTGTTTGTTTGTTTTTTCTTTATGAAACACAGAGAAAGAACCTGAAACTCAGGGAGGTAGGGATGATCTGGAAGGAGTTGGAGGTGGGAAATATAATAAAATATTTTTTATTTTCAGAAATTCACAAAAAGAAAGGAAGAGGGGATATGAAGTAGTCAGCATAGAGAGGATGGGTAGATCTTGGAGACATTAAGAGGATAAGTGGAGGGAGTAATTCTGAAGCAGGTGAGTATAATCAAAACACATTTTATGAAATTCTCAAAATTTAATAATGCAGTTCTTAAATTACAGATAGATTTCTTCTTAGTGCATGTGGGAATAAGTTAAAGACTTTCCAAGACAAAATTCCATACACAGTAAGCCACACTATTTTTATATTTTATTCTACAATATTAAATAGAAATATATAACTATTACTCTAAATAATTCATTAGCTTAAGAATCCATGACACAAACTGCATTTCTAAGATTATACACACCCAAATATATGTTGTTTTATAATTACAGGCTTATGTTTGAAAGTATGAATGAAGCATATTTTGGCAATGCTTCTGACGAATGTTTCACTTTCAGTTGAATTTGCAACATTAATATGAAAGTGGAAGTGTCTATTTGTGAATCCATATACTTCCATATGAAAATACGCAGCTGCCATAGAAACATCTCCTTTAGGAACATTTTTTTGGAGGCTAACTATTGTTTCTCAGGTCCTAATACATTATGGAACTGATTTTCAAAGTCATTTCCAAGAATAATCTAGGGTTCCATGAGTTCTAATGAAGAGTAACAGTTATAGGCATTTTAGTTACTGCCTTCAGTGTGTGCACACACGCATATACACATATACTCACACAGACACATAGACACATGTATAAGTAAATAAAATAAACAACAAAAGCAGTATTTTTTAAAAGTCACAAAAACATTCCTTTACCATCAAAAGTAAAATCACCAAAGGAATAGACATGTAAGAATGAAAGTTTAAGGCAATTATAACAAAAATATATGAAGATATTTCAAAATAGTTAAATGACCATGGCAAACCCAAAGAGTAAAGTTTGACTGTCTAAAGATGGATCAATAGCTTCCATACATTTTGGCTTCTTTTCTTTCATCAACAAACCAAACCAGCACTGAGATTATATTCATATCATCAGATGATTAGTGTTTATTACTATCTTGAATGTTTGCACCAAAACTTATTTATGGTTTGTCACCATAATAAGGGAAGGAACAGATTTAGATGAAACATTTATGAAGCAATCTTCAGGTAGTGAAGATTCATCCTTTATGAAAAGATCAATACATTTTAAGAGTAGTGAGTTTGCAGGTTATTTCTAGAGTGGGTCTTTTACAAATGTCATTTCTGACTCTTGGGCATGTCCCCTTTGTTATCAGTACCCTGTGCCTTTTCTTAAAACTGAAATATTCCCACCAGCAAGCAGGGACCAACCATATGTATGCCCTGAACCTTGAGCCTATAAGCACTGGAGATTTAAGAGACATATTTCTATCCCATATAAAATATACAACTTGTGAACCTAGTTAGAACATCAGAAACAGATTGATATAATGTATCACTTAATTTTATCTACAGAAGGTTAAACTATTTTTTTCTATAAAAACATCGTAGTGGCAAGTCATGTGGGGGTGGCTCACACCTTTAATCCCAGCACTCGGGAGGCAGAGGTAGACAGATCTCTGTGAGTTCAAGGCCAGCTTGGTCTACAAAGCTCCACAGAGAAATCCAGTCTCAAAAAATCAAAACAACAGCAACAACAAAAAGCAAAACAACAACAAAAAAATACATAGTGGCAAAAATATATCAGTGGAATATAGGAAGTAATAATTTTGGGTTTTAAAGTAACGTGATAAAATAGCCATGATAAAGATGGAAGAGAGCCTTATATGTCTGAGTATATTAGAGAGAATGCAATATATTAGTGAGAAACACTCTTATTTTTTTAGATACATTCTACTATATTATAATCAGGGAGAAGTATGGAGAGAGGACTTGATAACTGTTTCCATTTACATTTTTTAGTCTTCCTTACGTCTTTAAGTGATATCTAGCATTTAAAAGTATTTTACTAATAGGGAAATGTTTTCCTCTAGTAGTTTCTTTGAAAAAAATCACTACTATTTTATTAATATTTGTGGGCAGATGACTTGGCTAATTGGATGTGCTGGTAAAGTCAAACTCTCCCTATTAACTTTT